TTATAACATATAATTTGTAGAGCATAACTCAACACTGTTATCACAAGATAGAACAAAGCTGTTTACACTTATAAACGTAATAAAATAAGGTATAAAATAAAATATTTTTCAAATTGCCAAATACCATTTATTTTTTTAACTTGTAATGTGACCAAGCTTAAACACTTAATAAAATGCTAAAGTCAAGAAAATAGATAAACAGAACTTTTTTATCAGATACTATTATTAAAATAGAGAAAGTTTGCAAATTTTTTAAATTTTAGTCCTTTCTAATATAAAATTTAAATCAGAAAGATAAAATAGTTTAAATTATCCATCTTGTCAACAGTGTATCATTATAACAAATTAGGAACAAAATAAAATAAATTATGTAATGAGACAAACATCAACAAAACAACACTCAAAAAGTCAAACTTACAATTAAGGAATATCAATGAACACAATGAAAACAGCAGATTTAATTATGAAAGACACAATGTAAGAATATGGGAATAATATGAATGTTTTTTATTGCATGAATAATTTATTTTACCAACACACAATGCAACAATATGAGTTCTTTCATTTCTACATTTTGAGCCCAAATTTTCTTTTTTAACTAACATTAATTAATAACAAAATTGAAGAAATATTAAAGACGAATGAATTTGTTAATTATTGTAGTATTAAAACAATTTTGAATAAAATGAGCATTGAGATGATATTTTTACAGATCATTTTTTTTAGTTAAGAAACAGATCTTTATGTGATCATCATACAAAACAATTTATATTCCAAAATATACAAATAAAATCACTACAATAGACTAGTATAGAATTGATAGTGTAACAAATACACTAATAATACAAAAATACTTATAATAAAATAATGGGTGAAATAATGTGAAAGTTTATGTGAAATTTAATATATGCAATTACCTAAACTATTTTTTGTTTATTAATGTCATATCTTTTAACATTGAAAAATATAAGAGTTTTATTTATGTATTGCACTTCTAAACCTAACAAATCTAACTCAAATGTCTGTATTTGAAGAATTTAAATAAAAGTATTATGATTTACTTCAAAAATTAAGTTATAATAAAATGCCTTCAATCGTTCAGGCATAGAAAAGATCTTAGATACAACATTCTATTCATGGGAGTTACAAAAATGATTAAAAAAATTCCATAAATACAATATAGAATAGGAAAATAATAGGTTCATATCTAATAAATAATATAAAAAAATGACAGAATTAATCATATCTCCTACTGATTAATCCATTATGTACAAGTATTTAAACAAACTTTAAAATGATGTTCCTCAAAGAGTTGTAATGTTATCTCTTCTACTTAAAGAATATTTTTAACATGACATAACAATACTTTACTAGCTTGCTTTAGAAAAAACATTCTTAGCTGCCTCAAGAAGAAAGAGTGTTTTAACCTTCATATTTTAGTATAGAATTTATCACATAAAATAAGGTTATAAATGTGAATAAGAATGAAACCCAAATTTTATTAACATAGAAAATTTCTATTTTCGTATAACATGAAACTTATCACAATTAGAGTATAATAGTGGTTAAAAAGAATGAGATTTGATTTGAATCAAATTGAATTAGCAGCCGTTGAAAAAAGAAAAAGAAGCTTTCTATATTTACATATATCATGAAATCTATCACATAAACTAAAATTATAGATTCAATTGATAAGAATGATATTAAATTCAAAATATATTAACAGTGATAATAAAATGGAATATTTTCGATTTCATACATACCATGAAACTTATCCCATAAAAAGTAAGATAATAGAATTCATTGAAAAGAATGATATTTAAACCAAACTAAATTAGCAGCTTTTAAATAATGAGAAATTTATCACAAACTAAAAAATGATAGCAAAATGAAATTAAAAAAGCAAAATAATTGATTGTGAAGCTTTGTTCCTATCAACACATGATTTTTTTACTAAGGCAAAATAACAGTTACTCAGAATATAAGGCATGATAATTCTTTGGCTTAATATAATACCTTTACAAAAAATTTTTATAGCTTTAGAAAAATCTACGAGTTAAAAACGATGCATTATCACCTAGATCGCTAAAATGAATTATGTCAGAAAAGTTTTAAAAAATAAAGATAAAAAGCAAGAATAAATAAAATTTCTCCTTTCAGATTAAAAGGAAAAAAACTTAGATCTGTCTGATAAGACCATCAATGAAAGAAAAAACATAATTCAGAGAAGAAAATTAGATCAAGAATATTTTCCTATTTACCAAAAAAAAAAAAAAAAAAACTACAGATAACATTTAAATTTCAAATAAAGTAAAAACAAAGCTCATGAGAAAATTTTGAAAAATATTAATATTTTCTTTTTCAGAAATGAACTCTAAAATTGATAATAAAACAATTACAAAAAGGTAATAAAAACCCATACTTTTAAAAATTTAATAAAATTATATAGTGTTCACTCTAATAACTACTTTGACAAAGCTGCTTGAATACAAATATTTCAGTTACAGCTAATTAGCATTCCCGTAATGAATTACGTTAATTCTAGTAATGAATTGCATTAATTTTAAAGTTCTATTTGAAAAAGTACATCCTTAATAGTACATTAAAAATTTAAATATTTAGGGTGCATTTATGCAATTATCATGCAAATTTTTAGGTAGAATTTAAGAAATAGCACCATTTCAAGAATATAGAGTAATTATCCTATCTATTAATTTTAAAGAATTATCCATACTTTTTTTTTATTAATAGCACAATTTTCATTTGTAAAGGCAATTTTTTTTGTAAACAACAAAGCAACATTTTATATAGAAAAGTAAAAAAAGAAATTTAGGTAGGAGATTTTGCAAAAAATATTTTTCAATAACTTTGCATATTTCTTAAATAAAGAATATTTTTAAGTAAGTCAAAAGACATTTGAAAAAATCTTTAAATCAAAGTTTTAAGTTTAAAACTGTGAGCAAACTAATTGCAAAATCTATAATTATAAAAACTGACTGGCAAAAATCTATGATATACAAAAATATTAGAACTAACATTTCAACACTGAAATAATGGCCAATTCATCGAAATTTTTTTCACAATGCAAACTATTTTTTAATCTCAAAATCTACGATTTTGTAATCTATTATGTAAATCTCAAAATTTTAGACTAACACAAATTCCAACTATTAATGCTCATTTTAACACTTCTTCTTAAAAGAATTTTTGCAATATTTTTCTGGTTATTTGTTAGTTCATATTTGGAATATGTATAAAATTTATAATAAATACGGTTGTTTAATTCTAACGAGAAAAAATTGCAATATTTGAGAAGGATCTTAAATTTCTCAAAAGTAAAAATTGGATTTTGTTCCAACCATGCCTCAGAGTTCATCGTAAAATACTACTATTTTAGAATTACAATAAAAATGATAAGTATTTTGGAAATTAGATCAAATATGATTGACCAAATCCATAAACATTGTTTTTTTTTCTACTTGTTAAGTCTAAAATTATGTTATTGGAAAGTTTGAATGAGATAATTAAAAATAATGCATTTAATAAATAGTTTATAAGAACCTTATTCCCAAAAAAAAAAAAAAATTTAAATTATTTGTGGGTTTATTGTGAAAGAAAAAGATACATTTCTTGCTATAAACAAAACAAAATTAAAAAGATCTTAAAGCTAATTATTTAATACTTCATGCCTGTGATCTCTCTTCAAATAATATATATAGGATAGAAATTACATCAGATATTCCTTTCTTCAAGCAGAATATTCTCCATTCTATTAATATTTATTGCATAGTAAATTAAGGGCTAGCAGTCATTATCAGTATTTCAATGAAAATTTTAAAAAAATTGCAAAATAGGTAGCGAACATTATATTAGTCTGAGATGAAAACTGACAACCCAAAGCTTAATTATTTAGAGTATGCAATTAGAAAATATATAAATAATTATGGTAGTATTAAAATTACATACCATTAAAGTATTTAATTAGAAAATATACATTTTTAGAGGTAAGTAGTACAATAAATCTTAGATATTTTAATGGCAGCACCAGCAAATTTAAATTTTTAAAGTTACAGCATAATTTACTAACTCATATATATTTATTGATACTTACATGCATAAATTGAATAAAAACACAACAGACTCAATTATAGAAATTTTCAGAACACTATAAAAGTAACTGTTTTTCATTAAATTATACATTCAGAAGCTTCAGATCAGTATATTTTAATTTATATTTTAAGCTTCGATAACAAAAAGCACCAGAACTCGCAAGAAACTATGCAAATATAAACAGATGCCACACATTAGAACTGTTAAATGGGAAATAATATCTAATAGTTTAGAATGAAGCTATAGATAATGAAACATTACAATTGAAGTCAAAACCAATTATAAAATGCTTGAGTCTAAAAAAGTAACAGCTTTGTGATATTATATAAAATATCTAATTACTTATGAACAAAATATTGCTTTCAATATACTGATTTTATCTCATATATAAATTCTTAAGTAACTAGTTTGAATAGTCATACTGTTCTCAACAGCTATATAAGTAAAAACTTTTAATAAAAAGTATGCCTAGTAAAGATAAACATAAAAATGGAGGCAAATATTTTATAAAATCTTGAACTTTTAAAATATTATTTTGAATTATAAAAAAATTTTCACAATTGAAATGTATAATTTACGAATATTTGCACTCCAATAAAAATCAAAAAAGAAAACTAGCAAATTTTAAGAAAATATAAAACCATTTTGGATTAATTTAGAAAGAGCAATTTAACACTTAGAACACTATATACTACAGAACAAGAATTTTCTTGTCCATGGGACTACTTGTTCAGCTTTCACATTTTATAGCGGCAAGGATTTCTCGTGTTTCTGAAGTCAAAAGGAATGCCCATTCTAAAAAAATCACAGCTATAAGCAAATTCTCCTTTCCAGGTCTCAATTACATCCAAAATTTAATTTCAAGTGCATTCCACTTTTTTAAGAAGGTCATATAAATAACATTTTAGATAATATCTTCTCACATGTTATAAGCTACATAAATTGGATCTAATTGATCAGCTAAAAATCCATCTCGAAGGTGCATTCGTTGCTTTTCACCCCTGGAATTTATAGGCACAACTCCAGGATCGACAACAACTACTACTCCTACAATAAGTTGATGTTCCTCCAAAACTACATTTGTGACTAGGGGTACAAGATCTAAAGCTTCATTTTCATTTCCATCAAGTTCAACCACAACTACAAGTAAATTAGTCCAAGTAAACACAGCACTGTGGGAAAAAAATTTTACTTTAGAGGGTATGAAATATATCTTAAAATCTAGGAATATTGCATTTCATTTTACTCAAAATACTTAAAATTTGTTAAAAGAATTAACATAAGCTTAAAATATAAGTATAATAACAAAAGTATGGTTTTGTGCAGAGTGACTATTTTCAATTGGAAGCTACTATATAACTAACCTCACAAAATTAGATAATATACAAACAAAAAAAAAGTTCACCATTATATTCATCAAACTTTTATTTGAATATCATACAATAATTTGAAGTTATCAAGACAGATATTTAGTTAAATTGAAATTTATTCAACCTATCAATACCTAGGTCTAAATTTGTATTTCTTTCAATATTGTATGTATTAAAATTAAGGAAGGATAAGAACAAGATAAAAAAAATTCTTTTTTTTTTAATATGAATATGTTGGAAAATCAGTAAAATTTAAATGCATTATTAAGTATCAAAAAACTATAAAAAGGTAAGGGAAATTCCAAGAGAAAATATTTGCTGAATGCAAACAAACTGAATAATGTGTCATTTAAAAACCAATGACTTTCATTTTGACATTGCAAAAAAATTACCAACTGAAAAAGGCAAAATTATCATATATATGCATTTTATTATTCATAAAATTTAAAAGAAATTAGTACTTAAAAAGTATTGATAGTGCATTTTGAAAATGATTCTTAAAAACGAATTGCCAGCACTTATTCATTAATAAAACTCAAAATATAAACAAATAACCAAAACATAGTAATAAAGCTAAAGTACCGAAACATAGCTTTGCATTTAATGAACATTTTCAATTTAAAACAGTTGTTAAATTAACCTCATTAAAGTTAATGGTAGACGAATAAGAAAAACAAAACCTCTACATACAAAATCATTCATGTAAAAAAGTTCTATAATTTTTGCATAAAATTGAATTTTAATAAAGTGTAGATTTTTTGCATTCAACATAGAACATATTTTGTTTTAGACAAGTAAATTAATCAATTTAAAATACAAAATAAAGTTGAAAACAATACATTGTATTTTTTAAATACTTTAAGCTTGGAATCCACTGTAAAATTAAATGCAGCAATAGTTAAAGTGAAAAAAAATAATAATAAAAAAATTAAAAAGGTGAATAATTACATAAATTATAATACTAAGCATTACTAGGTAAATCTTTACATTAAATTTCCTGATTTTCAAGGCAGTGTTTTTCAGTGAATTTACATTATAAATGATTAACCCTCTGAGCGTTAGTTTTGGCTTTGTCCAACTTTTAACTGCAAGCTATAAACTGGTTTCTCCCATGCTTTTCAATGGGAGAATAGTACTTATTCGGGAAATGCCCATCCGATTTTAATTAGGGGCTTAATGCTTGGAGAATTAATGAAGAACAAGAAATCGGAATGTAAGATACAATTAATTAATAGTATTCCTTAACCATATTTCAAAAGAAAAAAATTACATTAAGTTTTACATCATGAATAAGTCAATTTATGGATAAAAATTACTTTATGTGTGCACTTATGTAACATAAGAAATAAAACTAAAGTAGACATGAAGAATTTTTGTCAAATTCAACTTTGGGGAAAATATGCAATATTTTTAAGCTCATTGCATTGCCCACGTAACTTGAGAGGTTCAAAACTTATAAGATATTAATAAAAAAACGTATATGAAGGCTACAAACAACAATTTTCAATATGATCAAAATTTCATTTAAAAGTAAAAGTACCATTCAGAAACTTTTTTATGACATCTCAGGACACTATTTTCAATATCTATAGGATGATATCTCATTCCTCGGAGCATGATAGTTTCATCCAGAGACCCAACTACAAACACAGCATCATGAAGTTCTAAAAAATATTTATATGTTATTAATAAACGTGATAAGTAAATCTAACCCACATAACACAAACATGAAATTTATTTTGAGGATTTATGATTTAATAATCTTAATAATTCACAGCTTTCGTCACAATATGATTATAATGGAAAGCCATTGGTTCCATTTCAGCAACTTTTCAGTATAATTTAATTTATATTTAAATATCATAAAAAATGCTTCTGTTTTAACCTATTAAGCACTAATTCTGAGAGAGTTAGGAAAATATGCATCTTTAGTACACAAGGCTCCGGAATTTCAGTCTTTTTCTATGAAGTGCAGGTCCTTATTTAAAATAATATAGATCATGTAAAACATTTTAACTTTTCAAAAGTGACAAAATGCTATGTGAAACAAAATAAATTTAAACTTCAATTGATGTTTCAAAAATTAAAAAAAATAGAGTAAGACTGGGAAAAGGAAGTCTCCAAGGTGAGAAAAAAAATATGTGTATTATTAAGCAAAACTCTTGTCTCTTTAATCATCTATTATTAAGCGCATTTAAAAATATTCCATCTATTTATAGAAAAAAAAAATATGAAGGATTTCAAAACAAGAAAAGAGCAATATTTGAAATCAAGGGTTTTAATTAGAACTAATCAAATACTTGCCTCAAGGAAAAGCAGCAATGTAATGTGAGATTAAAATTATATGTACTTTATCTTTCTGCTACTAACACAAAAAATATATTATTTTTTTGTAAGTTTGGTTTTATTCCATCTACATAAATCTACTGGCATGTTATCGAAGCATGAATCTAAAATACATTTTTGCATATCCTCTACGATTTTTGGCGTATTTGATAGCCAAATTCCTGTATTAAGATCTATCAATCATAAATTATGTTATTATAGAGAGAGAATCATTAGACCAAATGTAATTGGTCTGTTTTTTTCTGCACTATACATTCAAAACATGTTATTCATACCAGGGGTGATTGTGACAAAGTGAAAAACCCTGAAAATTTCATGTGCAAAAAATTGATAACAAGATAACAATTTATATAACATACATGTTTCATATTTACCATAATTTTTTGAGCTAAGATTTATAACTAAATAACCTACTAATGATGAACATCACACATTTATAGAAACTAATTCAAGAAAAAATTTACTTCTTACAAGAATTTGGATTTGAAATATTGGATTTCAAATATGCAAAAATACAAATTTCAATATTAAATCACATAAATACGAATCAATAATTTTTCGAAAACAAATCGCAATGTATAGTTTTTAAATCGTGTAAAAATAAACAAATTGATTTTTGATATTACAACCGTCTGAATAGGAATTGCAATATTGGATTTTAAAAACGTGTGAATACAAATCTTGACATTAGATTTTAAGCTCGCGTGAATACGAATTGTGATATGGGTTTTTAAAAATGCGTAAATACAAATCACACTATTGTATCTTCAAATCGCGTGAATCGGATTTGTGATGTACGATTTTTAAATTGAGTGAGTACGAATTGCAACACGTATCTTTTTGATCAGGTAAATACTAAAATTGATGTTTAATATTAAAATAGTGTGAATAGGAATCGTAATATTAGCATATCCCAGTGCAGTTACAAATATTCAAAATGGTGGAAATTCGCCAAATCAAAAGAATAAAATTGGCGGAAAAATCGCATGTACGTAAATGTCTTGTTAACAGAATAAAGCAAAAGTTTCAAAACTTAGAGTGATTTTAAGTTTTTGATTAGCGTAAGTGCGCAAACCAATGGTCTTCTGATACGAAGCAATACTCAGGATTTTTGCTGAAAAATCACATGCTCATAGCTTTTAGACTGGAAGAATAAAAAAAATAATAATAAAATAAAACAGAATTTCTGGGTACACACGGAATACAATCACTCATGTTATACTCTAATTATAATTTAGGGATGTATTTAACATACCACCATCAGCTTGAACACTCTCTGTTCTTCGCAAAAAACCTAAATAACCAGTCCTTGCATAAGTTTGTGATGAGTCACCAGTGATTAGCCTCACATTGAAATGATCATTGTGAAGAGAATCATCACCATAGATAGTGAAATATCCACTAGCATTATGAGATGACTGCACCCAAATCTAAAAAATAAAATACTTTGTTAAATACCATTTGTGAACATAAATTGCATTCATTAGATTGAATACCTTTTTCAGTAAGAGTTTTTAATTAGTAGTAAATATTAAATGTGTTCAGGCTTTCAATATTTAGGCAAAAATAGGCTAGGTGTTAGAATTAGTGTTAGAATGGTACAAGGGCCAAAAAAGATTCCACTACACCAAACATGAATGATGAGCTTGATGCAATGACAAGGCAAGTCATGGTTCACAAATTATATGTGACATTGAGTCAAATGACATTGAAAAAGCAATAGGTTTATATGAAGTTTCTCCTCACACCTTTTACCTCACAGGAAATCTGATTTGATATTTCTGCCCAGTTCTTGTACTAATCAAAGAATTTACAAAGTCTGAACAGTAAAAAATTTATTAATATAGAAAAAAATGGAATATACCTGGCTTTCGCATTAAACCCCTTAATGTCATTACAAACTCAATGCAACAAAATCAAATACCTTAACGTCCTTATCTTGTCCATCTTGTCCATAAATCTTGTCCATCTCACAAATTTATCAGTTTTGGAGGTGGTGAAGATATATAAATTTCTTTTTAGACAAATGTCTTGTAGCAGATTTTTTGAATTAGAAACTGAAAATTTGCTAATGGAACAAGTTTTAAGAATATTAAACATATTAAACGGATATGTAGTTCATAAAATATTTTCATGAGATGTTAGATCAGATCTAGAAATTAATAGCTCTGTCTCGTAATAAAGCAATACATAATACATAGCTCAAAACATTGAAGAATAATAAAAACAGGGACATTTGGCATACAATCAAATTTTGGACAAAAAGGGAATATTGGTAACAGTTAATTGCAGTTTAAATCAGAAATAGCAAACTACTGCATAAAGAATTTAAATTTTGACAATATTACATTCTAACTACACTGGACTTTTATGCACATATGTATTTACATAATACACATTTGTTAACACAATTAATCTAACTTAAAACATATTCCTTAACCCTTCATTCCACACTTTTTAAAAGTGAAGAATAATTATTTTCGTTTGCAGAATTCGTCAATAAATACTAGAAAAAAATTGGTTACACTTTAGGAAGGAAGAATATTTTTTGTTACCTTGCACTTTTGTTACTGCAAAACTATGTGTACAACATTATAAATCCTCTGATACAGTGAATGTAAACAATAGAATAATACAATAATTATTTATTGCCAGAATTATATAATGACTTTGAAGTTCCAAACTCTAGAAGGTTTTATCATAGGAGAATTTATTATTTTAAAATTTTTGTTCAGAACAGAAATTATCCTTCTTATTGAAATAGCACAAGGCACTAAACTAACAAAGCATGGGGAAACAGCATGTCCATTAGTTTTGAAACTAGCACAGACTGGTAGTCAATTCGTTTTTCTAACAAAGACAAGCACTTCTATCGATGTGCAAAGCAGTTTTCAATGCTTAACTATAAAGAACAGCAGAGAAAATCCAATTTAAACTTAGCTTTACAGATATGCAAATGGGCACAGTGAAGGGTTAAGCTAGAGGAATCAACATTTTACTTACAACAATAACAAATTTTAAATTTGTTGCTTCAAAAATGTGTGTTAAGACTTAATTCAATAAAATTTCACTCAGAGAAAATATTTATAAAAATTCAACTGAATGAGAATGTAACATGGTAACATGGAAATCTTTACAGCTTTGGTAAATGTGAATTTCAGTAATCCAGAATGTTGAATAATTTTAAAATAGGTGACTGATTTTACCTTTCATAAAAAATGATTTATCAAGCTCTTCTTAAAAATATTTCCTAATTTTGAACATTTCATCAACAGTAAATTTCAAAATTTTCATTAAATATGGATGATTGAAAATCAGTATTTATCATTTCTTTTTTCTTGGCTAAATATATGTTCACTATAGGCATTTGAGTGGTGACAAAGCTTGGATTGTTTTTGCCAATTCTTCAGTTTTGAACACCAAAAATATTTTTTATTCTTTATACATTTAGATATTTCAATAAGAGATTTTAAATTACAAAAATTTGATATTTTTACGAAATTTTAAAGAAATGGAATATTTGAATATTTTTTGGAATTTGACAGAATTGGCAACTGTGACTGATAATATAAATTTATTAAATACATACAAAATGTAGTTAATACCTCTCCTAGGTGAGAATCTCCACATTGTCCTTTAGTCTCAGGATTGGCAATGACTACTTTCACTCCTGGAAGAAGTTTGCCAGACTCCATCAGACATAAACTATGAGGAGCACCTCTTTCAACTAATGTAACTCGATCATTTCGCAATGCTCGCATATCAGCATATACTGCAGTTGGGTCTGGACTAGAGGCTCCCTATAAATTAATACATCTTTATATACGTAATTAAAATATCTTAAGAAATTGATCTATATCATGTAGTCAGATATGCTACAGCAGTTTCAGAAAAAAAATTTAGTATGGTAATAAAACTCTAAAAACAGTTTTTCAAAGTTATGAATTAAACTAAAACAAAAATTACAATTTAAAAAAAATAATTGTATTTAATAAAGTATTAATTTAATTTTTTTTAAACATTTTGAGTTGACTCATTTCAAAATATAAGATTCTTCTGTTAGTTGATTCAAAATGCCATTGCTTATTCAAATCACTATTATTATTATTTCTTACTAATAGTCAATCCGAGGGAAAATTGAATTTCGTTTAATATTTATAAGTTCAGTAGTTATGAATGCAACTGAACATTTTTAATAAGAATTTAGTTAGTGAATGACCCCTCAGTTTATCATTTAGAAAATTCTGCGCATATTGAATTGTTAATTAGATTAAATAATTTTAAAAAACTGAATAAAAGAACAATTCAAATATTTGAAACAAATCGCCAACATACCAAGACTTAATTTCACTAAAAATATTTAATAAGTATATACTTTTACGCTAATAAAATTTCATTAGAAAAAGTTAGTTTTTTCTTTTTTATAAAATATTATTCAAGTGGCATAAAAATTCAGGAACACATTGGGTAGAAAAGATACTTCAATCACTTTAGTACAATTTGTGGATGTCCCCAGTCACACATATAAAATTTTTGTAATTTTAGAATTGTTAAGTTTATGATGAAAATCAGGTGAAAAAAGCGGAATTCCATGGGTCTGCAGTAAAGTTACATGTCTGCTTAATTAAAAACATTACTTACCTGCAAACAAATGGCAACATTTACTCGACATCCAAAGCTTGTGCTAACAGCTCTAGGAGATAAGCCTAAACCAGAAAATAATTTAGAGAATGAGGTTGTTAATCCAACTCTAGGCCTCTCCTCAGCTACAACAACACAGGTTCGAACGCAGCTCAAGTTTATCCCTCTCTGCAATGAAAAAGAATAACTGTTATAATAACTACAATAAGTTGGATACAAAATGATACACAAATTTTACTTACCTTATAACATATAAAACATATTAGTGCTAAAATAAATATTAAAATTCCAGAGTTTCATTTGCAAACTCAAAAATAATAGTTTTATCCCATTCTGTGAAAAATAATTATATACTGTTAAAAAAATTTCCTTACTCCCACCAAAAATAGTCATAGACTCACATATTTACAAATATTTATTTATAACACATTTATAATAAAATTACCTAAATTTTATAATTTAGGTTCAGCTTTCTAGACTACTACACACAAAATGGGAATGCTTATCAGTAGAGATATTTCTCCATAGCTTTCTATATTCCCATTTTTTTTACAGGATAATAGATATAGGAGATTAAGGATTTAATTAAGATTTTTAGTTTCCCAAATAGATAAGTTTTAAAATATATTCAAAACCAATTAAATTAATAAACAGAATAAAAAAAACTCCTTTGGCATGTAATTAAACTGACAAACAAAATAGGTTCAACATTTTAAAGTTATAGAAAAATTTATTGCCAAGTTCAAAAGTCAACCCAAGTATGAGACAGTCAACAAAAAGTCACTGAATTATAAAAACACAGAAATTTATATCAGTTTTTATCTTATAATAAAATTTGTTAAATGTAGAAAACCAATATTTATAAATTATTAAACATGCTCAAATCATAAGAAAATGTCTGTAAAAGTTCTAATAAATGAAAAGAATCTAAAAGTGAATGAGAATGTCTGAAAAAGCTAAGAAATCATAGCATAATTTATAGGATTAAAAAAGTCTTAAACAAGTTCCCATTTCTTACTAGACTAATATGCTATCAGGGGTCTGTCTAGGCTTTTCTGAGATGTACCTATTTTATGAAAATTTAGACATAATATGTGAAAAATTAAAAATGATATTAAAAAATCAACAAAAAGCATAGTAAAAATATAGATTTATCATTTCTTAAGGATACAAAAATAAAATTTTAAGAAAAAGTACTTTGTGAAACTACCGTTTTTCCTAATGTTGAATTTGTGAAACTACCGTTTTTCCTAAAATTGAATTTGTGAACGTACCGCTAAACGGTAGTAAATTCAACGTGGACAGACCCCTGGTTATTTAATTATAAAAACATATCAACTACAAATAATCAAATGAAATATTCAAATTTAAAGATGGCAATCAAGCAAAAGAAAGGACATAAGAAACAGGTGTGGTGATGGCACATCTAAAGCCATTGACATATCAAAATTTAGAAATCAAAAGAAAATTGATTTTCTAATGTTTGATATAAAAGAATAGAATATTATCAAATTAAGCAAGAAATTAAAAATTAGAATTTATCAAAATTTTCTTTCTAGAATTCCATTTTCACCAAATATTCCATTCTCACCTTTTTTAAAAATTTCTACATCTTGCAACACATATGGATTTCACCCTACCAATGATACCCTTTTAATTATTTGATTAATCGGTTCAAGCTTGTACCCCAACCACTTTTTTCCCTTTGTTGTAACTTGTTTATAATTTTCTCTTGCATCTATGTGCTTCCCTCTTTCAGCCTGAGTGTCCACGCAGAGGAGGTTTTATCATTATAAAACCAGATATATGTTATGTCTTTCAGTTACTTAAGTTTTTAACAGAGCAAAATGAATTTAAATAGATTTTTTAACATTAAAAAAATTTATCATGTATATTCAAAGAAAGAGAATAAAACAAATAACTGTGGAATTTTTAAATTCAGTTTTATCTAGATCAACCTGTAAATATTGTTTGCCGAAAGGAGGTAATTAAGTTTCTAGTATAAAATCTCGCCAGAAATAGATTAAACATTGCTATATCAATTTCAAATTTCACATCTTGAACATAAGCATTATAAATTATCCCAGCCTGTAAAGAACATTAAATGTTTTAAAATATTCTTTGGTACAAGGCAATGCTTCTGAGTATAGGCAGGGAGTAAGGAGTTAAAAATTTGTCTATAAAGAAAATTAAAAAAGTCTACGAGGCAAAATGATACTAAATGACTTTTTTTTAAAAATGTTAAATTTCTATTCTATTGGTCACTGTAACAAAAAAATTTCCTCAAAATAATATCAAAGTATAAAGAATACTTTATCATCAGAAAATGTTAGAAAACCTAAATGGGTAAGCACACACACAAATGACCAAGAAATTTTGTAAGTGAAAATAGGCTATTGTATTACCTTCAATTGGCTGATAGATGATCCTAAGCCTTTTGTGCAAAGTTCCATAACGCCATATGAACAGAATGTATCACGCACTTTAAAATAAAAAACAAATTAGAAATTATTAAAACGAAATTTTTTTTTATTTACTTTTATTATTATTTAGAATTAATTATAACCTTTGTATTGACTAATTGTTGATAACCAAAGGGCAGGATTAATTTCAACTTCAGATGGTGGGATTAAAATGGTATGGTGACCTGAATAAACACTGAAATAAAAAATAAATCTTAATGCGAAAGAAATAAGCAATACATACAGTGATGGGTTCTTACATTAAAAATATTTAAAATGCATTTAAAAATTACATTAACTTAGAAATTTACATATCAAATATATATAATTAAATCTTAGAAATATAAAAGATTAAACACATCAATAAATTATTCTTTTTTAACTTATCAGTATAATTTTTCTCTCTCATAATACACCAAAAATATTTTAGCATATTGTTTCTTAACGAGTCCTATCAGTAAATACACATCAATTATTATTAAAAACAAAATATCAGTATTTTGTTTATATTAAGCTTACTCACAAAACAGTCCAATTTTAATTAATAAATTTGTTGTCAAGTTCAGTTCTTTTAAGCACAAAAAACTTTGATTGGGAAAACAAGCTTCTAAACCAAATTTCAAGTATCAACAAAACAAAAAGTGTCATTTTTGTCATAGTGCCGGCAAAAAAAAAAAAAAAATAAATAAATAAAAAAAATCTTGGCAAGGACAACTATGAATGTAAAGGTTTTTTACATCACTATAGCAAGAACTGAATAATGAAAACCAAATCTTCTTATTTTTGATGTTCGAAACCTAGTTATTTTGAGCCAGCAATAAATAAAAAAGATACCTTATGTACAAAGCTTCATAAAAAAGTATTGAAAACTTTAAGATATTAATTAAAAACTCTTTTCTTAATACACATAATTAAAAAAGTATGTTTGGCAACAATTTTAGTCACAAATGATATTAATTTTATAATTTTAATATAATAATTTTAGTCAATTTAGAGAAAATGTTGTATGAATTTTCTTTTTTAAATATTTTCTTTATGTCAACGCATGTGTAAACATTTATTTACATTTACTATCATTGTAGATCTTTGAATTTTAGAGATTAAACAAAAATATTAAAACCAAAAGGTTTTTGTGTATGAAGAGGAAAAGAATGTATGGATAGAAAAGAATGCAACCATCTATAAGATAATAAAGGAATTTCTTTCATATTTATCAAGCCAAATGGTTGAAAAGTTACTAAAATCTTCCTGATGCCAGAATAATTTGTAAGAAATTTTCCTCTAAATGAATTTACTATCACTATGAAAAATGCTACGTCCATGGTGATTACATGCAATCCTCATGTTATGAAAATTTTCCTTGCTAAAAATTGCAATAAATGTTTAGTGGAAAATACAAAAATAGATGTTAATTTTAAAATGTTTATAATGCATTGCCTCCTTTAATATATTTAACCCTTTCGCGACGCAAAGCGCGCTTACCGCTGAGGCCGGCAGTCTCTCTAGCGTGTGTCTCCCCAGGGCCGGAGGGTTTTTTGATGTTAAGCCTAATTCCATGAAATTACCGAAATATCAGCGCGTTGTTTAATATTGTTCTGCAGAGTATTTAAGTGACATATGCTTCATATATATTTCTATGGATACTTTATTTACTTAAGTTATTTCTTGTTCAAATGTATATTTCACACATTTTATTTTCATTATGTACTTGTTATTTTAAAACATTTAACATTACAAATCTGAAAACTAAATATATGACTTAAAGCTGTTTTTTCGTATGAAAAATTTAATTATTTTCATTTAATTATTTCGTAATTATTTTCATTATGGAATCATCAAAATAATGCCTAAAGAAATCAATCTCTTCTTCAAGCGAATTATCCACTTTTAGTCCAGGCACGGCTTTGAAAGGTAATAGCGTTAAATTTTGTACTGTTGATGACCATGCAGAAGTACTACTCGATTTTGAAGTACTGGGCATACAAATGTCAGAAATGTTCTCATCATCATTCGATTCGCTTGATTCTTTATGATCAGAATATATTATAGTGTCACTATCACTACTATCCGAATCTGTTTCAGAATCAATATCTGAAATATTTTGCATAATTTCCTCTATTTCCAGCTCAGTCAAAATTTTTCGACGCTTCGACATTCTAACGGTAAAAAGAAAAAAAATTCAAGCCTACAAGA